GTAAGTTTGCGAGTGTTGACTATCGTTATGTGTGCATATACGTGCATCGACTTGTACCAATGGGTGTGTGTTTGTGTGCTTTTGTCAGATAGAACGAAGAAGAAAAAAAAGAAGGGAGGAATCAAGTGCGCAAAGAAGAGGACGGGGTTAAAGAAACCCCATGTGAGAAATAAAGGAAGGGCAGTTGAATATAACGCTCTAAGGATACAACCTTAGACCTTCCTTATTGCCTAGCTGCAGATGTCGAAGCGTGTTCGTGTCGTCTAAAATATTGAAGAATGTAGAATCTACATTATTTACACCCCATGCTTTAACCAGTCACACAATGAAGATGGGCGACATGGTTACCATGGTAACAATAAGTACACAAAAGCGTAATTATGTAACAATAAGTTAACACGGTTATTCACGCTCCTGCCCCTGGAGTACTCAGTATACTTTACACGTGTCCACAAAAACATAACAAAATAAAACAAACAAAAGCAAAAACAAAAAACCAACAAGAAAACAAAAGGGAAGTAAAACAAAACAACTACCCCCCAAAAAAAACAAAAACAAAACAACAACAAAAAAACAATACAAAACAACCCATCCCCCTTCCAACAAATAGGCACATAACGACAACAAAAATAGTAATAGAAATCGACACAAGACAGACAGCCGGACAAAACCGAATACCGCTCTTCTCTTCAGACAAAGAGTTATGAATAATCACTCTTTAACAAGATGGCCGACAGCGACCTTAATACCTCTACCCTCGGATTAAGCTTAGTACTACAACTGTAGTACTGGTATTGCACTAAGACAAACCAGCTATTGGCCAACTGTCTAATCTTCGTGCAACACTGAGCTTAGTATACGAGCAACGCCAACACGACAAAGCTACAACATACTGAAACTCTCAGTAACTAAATTAGTTAAACAGAAAAGAATACATATTATTTATGATTAAAAACTTACCAGATTTTAGTCCATTAATACGGTGTCTAAAATTATGAACAATGCACCTACGGATGACGTATGGGAAAGGGCGAAAAATATGTATACAATGATGCAAAGTAATATCTTAAACCCCTGTAGAG